TTTGTATAATAGTTCAACAAAAAAAGGTTGATGATGGTTATTAGCTTAACAATATTCGAATTTCTTTAGTAAAAGTTCAGAGTGCTAGAACAACCACTCAAAATTGAAAGATATATGAAAAGAATATTATTGCAAAACTAATATAAAGCACTCCTCTCTCTAAAGAGACCTCTACTGAGATACCAAAACAAAGTTGTTTGACCTGTGATACGAGGGTTTAAGGCCAATGAAAATCCTTACAGAGTTTATGAAAACCTGACATTCATGTGAAATCATAAGCAGTAGAGGATCAAAAAGGAAGTGGACTGACTCCAGAGTAAGCAGAGCCCCTTTGCTCAGACCAATAGAGAAAATAAAATAAAATAAAAAACAGAAAACAGTCAACAATTCCTTAAAAACTCTATACAAGAAAAGGAGAGTGGCTCTTCCTCATCTGATTTCCAAAGATTAATAAATATTGTTTTATAATTAAATGGAAACAAATAAAGCCCTGAGGACCTAAGGGCCTCATTTGATCACTAAAAAAGAAGTAGGTTTCAGCCCAAGCCATAGATTGCCTCCCTGTAATATGATCTTATACCTAGAAAACTCTGACATCCGCAATTTTTAATAAATTGCTCCTAATCTTTTAACTACTTTTAAATGTCATAACTTTTACTAACATTGAATTATACATTTTAGCGTGGCAGAATGGCAAAACGTGCAGATTCAGTTTTTCTCCATAGCCAAAAACAAAACACACTGATTACCGTTATCACAAAGTACAAGGATTTCCATAAGTATTTTTTAATATTGAAAAGAAAACAGTGTTTCTCTCCTTAAACATGACCTTTCCAGAAAAGTGTGAGCCTCTTAACCTGAGAGTAGGAAATGCATCGGCCTGAATTAATCCTCCCTGCACTATTCAATCCAAAACCACCTTTTATAAGTGCATAGGTCATCGTGTATATTAAAGTGACAAAGTATGAAATTAGACATTTCTTATCAATAGTGATCCTCTATTGTCAGAAAGGGCATTCCAAATCACACCTCAAGCTTTTAGTCAACTGACAATTACACTGCAAATATGCAGGCTCTGGTTTCTCAAAGCTGGTGGGAAGCAATCTTCCTCCCCCTCTTTCTTTGTAATTTTGGGCATTCTGCAAAGAGAGGAGAAAATAAGTACGGAAATTTTTTCTAATTTTTTCTTGCAAAAAGAGCAATTGTCTCTTCAGTACTATTCTTATGCTCACCAGATGCAATTTGCTTTGAGAATAAATGTATAAAAATCAATGTCTAAAAAAAAAAAAAAAAAGGCTACCCACATGCTGTATCTAATTATTCAACAAAGTATCCTTTTCAAAGTAATTACCAACTAACAAGTGTAAGCCTCCTTTTGTGAAATGAAGGAAAGTGGAATTTTAGAAAACAAAAGCAGATTTTTCTATCAATTTACATGTAATTTCAGAGTTGCAATTTTTGTTCCTAATTTTCAAGCAGCAGTATTTCTACATAAGAAATTTCTGTTAATCTGTCAATTAATAAGGGTAATGATTTCCATGCACACGTGAGTGTGGTTTGTAGAATATCACTTTTGGAGAAAACCATTCGGTGAAAGAAAAAAATTCCTTTTGATTTTAATCTTTTTGTTTTCTTTTTGTTTCTAATTTTTATACCTATTTTATAAATCTAAAAAACATTTTAAGGGAATTTTGACAATTTATTTTCTATAATAATAAAACATAAACAACATAAAATGAGAATTCACAAATCTATACCAATAAAAATGAATGAATGAAGAAAAAGACAAATCCTTTCCTTACTATAGTATTACAAAAAATAAATGTGGACAATGATGGGACTTTAAAAAAAAAAAAAACTCATCATTTAGCATCACTTTTAATATTAAGAGTCTCATACAATAATCAATATTAGATACAAAAATTCATGGGTGTGATATTAGGCTATTTTCAAGTCTCAAAGCATCTCCCCATCCTATATAATGAGGAGGTAATATGCAAATTACCCTCACACCCTGGCACAAGATGGCTGGTCCCATGTGGTCAAAGATGGCCGCCACAAGATGGCAAGCAGGGAAGAGCAGTTGTGGGTGATCTGACCAGCAGGGGAGGGCAGTTGTGGGGATCAGGCTTGCAGGGGAGGGCAGTTGGGGTGACCAGTCCTGCAGGGGAGGGCAATTGTAGGCAACCAGGCCTACAGGGGAGGGCAGTAGGAGGTAACAAGGCCGGCAGGGGAGGGCAGTTGGGGGCAGTCATACCAACAGAGGAGGGCAATCGATTGGCAGGGGAGCAATTAGACATAGATCAGGCTGGCAGGGGAGTGGTTAGGGAGTGATCTGGCTGGCAGGTAGGGAACAGTTGGGAGCCAGCAGGCCTGGATTGTGAGAGAGATGCCCGACTGCCAGTTGAGGCCCGATCCCTGTGGACAGGCAGTCGAATATCACTCAAGGGATCCGAGATTGGAGAGGGTGCAGGCTGGGCTGAGGGATACCACCACCCTCAGTGCACGAACTTCATGCACCGGGCCTCTAGTAAAATAAATAATTACAAACACATAATAGTGATTTTAGTAAGAAACTTGGCAGGCAACAGTTCTATTTTAAGTAATGGGAAAAAGTGACATTACATGCCTCCTGACATGATATTCTGGGAAGAGCATAATACCATTACTCTAGATTTCCTGCTGAAAGTATTGAATTTGATTGTGAGGAAACATCAACAAACCAAAAATGAAAGATATTCTACAAAATAACTGGCCAGTATTCTACAAAGTTCTTAGGGTGTGAATGACAACAGAAGACTGAAACCCTATTCCACATTAAAAGAGATTAAACAGACGTGGCAGCCAAATGCTATCTGTAACCCTGAACTGTATCCTAAACCAGAAAAGGACATCAGTGGCACAAATTCAATAAAACATGTAGTCTACATCACAGTATTGATCCAATGATAATTTCCTCTGATTAAGAAAGAGAACATACACACCATATTGTTTAGGTATCAAATATTTATATCCTATGTGCAACTAATGCAAAAAAGTGTGTGTGTGTGTGTGTGTGTGTGTGTGTGTGTGTGTAGAGAAATGATAAAGTTATTCCGGTAAAATTTGAATATTGGGGAAATCTAGATATAGGATATACAGAAATTCTTTGTTCTAATTTTTTAATTTCTTCGTAAGCCTGACATTTCAAAATAAAATGGTATCTAAAGAATAAGTGACCTCTATTTTTCATTGATTTGATGACAGCCTTACAGTCTTATCCAGGGGTTGGCAAATACTAACTAATAAAAGAGTAATATGCAAATTAACCATCACTCCACTACAGCCATAAGCCACATCCATAAGCCATAACACAAGCCACAACCACCAGCCAATCAGAGCGAGAATGCAAATTAACCCCAACCAGATGCCTTCAGCCACAGAGAGCAGGAGGGAGGCTTAGGTTTCCCCAGCAATGGAGGAAACCAAGCTTTCCATCTGCCCTTGCCAGCATAGGCCTCCATCAAGGTTACAAAGTTTCAATTATAGAAGGTAAACAAATCCAAACAGAAATGACGGCAGCCACAGAGCTGGAAAGAGCGGGAGGCTAGAGTTGCCCCCAGCAAAGGAGAAAGTCAAGCTTTCCACACACCAGCCTGCCCCGATCTTCGCTTAAGGCTACAAAGTTTCAATTATAGAAGATATATAAATTCCAACAGATATGGCTGCCGCTATGGAGTAAGCAGAAGGCTTGGCTCTGCTCCAGGCTACAAAGTTTCATTGTAGAAGATAAATAAACCCTAGATACCAGGACCTCCACCTGGGTCGCCAGGGGGCATGGCCAGCCTGCAAACCACCACAGGCCCATCACCCAGGCTGCCCCATGCCCCAAGGGAACCCCCACCCTGATCCAGGACATTCTTCAGGACAAACCAGCCGACCCCCACTCTTGCACCAGGCCTTTATCCTATCTAATAAAAGAGTAATATGCAGATTGACCATTACTCCAATACACAAAATTGCTGTCCAGACACAAGATGGCCACCACAAGATGGCCAGCAGGGTAAGGCAATTGGGGGGACCAGGCCTGCAGGGGAGGGCAGTTAGGGGGTCACCAGGCCTGCAGGGGATGGCAGTTAGGGGTGACCAGGCCTGCAGGGGATGGCAGTTAGGGGCAAACAGGCTGGCAGGGGAGCAGTTAGGCATCAATCAGGCTGGCAGGGGAGTGATTAGGGGGTGATCAGGCTGGCAGGCAGAAGCAGTTAGGAGCAATCAGGAAGGCAGTCAAGTGAGCAGTTGGGAGCCAGCAGTCCTGGATTGTGAGAGGGATGTCCCAGATTGGAGAGGTGCAGGCTGGGCTGAGGGACACTGCCCTATCTCCCTCCCTCTCCCCCCATGCACAAATTTCATGCACTGGGCCTCTAGTGTTTCTATAAAGGGCCAGGCAGTGAATATCTAACAAAGGCTTTGTGAACCATACAGTCTTTTTCATAGCTACTCAACACATCCATTGTGTCACAAAAGCACCCCCAGACAAATTGGAAATGAATGGGAACAGCTGTGCTCCAATAAAATTTTATTTACAAAAATAGCCAATGAGCCAGATTCAGTCCATGTGGCCAGTTTGCTGACCCGTTATGTCAAGGAAAATCAATCAGAGTAATTATACTTTCAGTTAACATTTTTTGAGTACATGCCAGACACTATGTTAAGTGCTTTACTGCTTAACTCGTTTATCCTTGCACCAATCTGATTACAGTAAAATTACGATTATTTCCACGTCCCACAGGCCTAGAAAAGGTGAGGAACTGGTCCACATGACACAGCTAGCAAGCAGTAGATTCTGGGTTTGACCCAGAGAGGGCTGTCTTCTCTCGCTAAACTATAACCATGTTATACTTCTCATGTGGACTGAACTACACTGTCATAGGGTAACAACTAAGGGATTGTGGTGATTTAGTAACAGCTAACAGTTACCTAAGATCAAAGACGAACATTCTGAGAAGGTATTTTTCACAAACCTCTTGTAGCTGCAAAGAAATAAGTCCCAGTTGGTCCTGGCGTTTTTCCACCAGTTCTCTTTCTGTGCGCATCTCCCTTTCTATTTCTTGCAGCCGTCGCTCCACCCGATCTGAAACCTTAACACGAACAAACAGAAGTACTGACATTACAGAGCTGTTAGGTGAAGAAGAAGAAAAAAGACTAACTGACCTCTATTTTTCATTTACGCCAGATACACTACTGCCCAAAGCACTTAAGACTGGCTTGTTTGTAGAGCCCTTTTTCATGACACAATTATAAAACAGATCACACAAAAACTAAAAAACATTTTAAAAAGCAATCATTAGTCTCTAAATAATCCAAACCTGAATCCAAAAAAAGAACTTATATTTTTCAAAGCATAAAATAGTAGTTGAATAGGTGAGCATTAAAAGCAATAAATTAGAAAAGAGTGCCCTCTGGTGAAACATGAGAAAAACAGCAATTTTGTTACGCTCCTTCATTTCTTACTCTGATAAACTGTTAAATCTGTTTAGTTCTTTATCGTTTTAATTATCTATAAGCATGACCTGCCTCGGGAGGTTTTGATGTTTATGTGCAGCAAATAATTGAAAGGGATTTTCATTAGTTTGTCAATCTTGTCTAGAGTGATCTGCTAAAAATAAACCAGCTGAAAAAATCAAAAACTAAAGTCAAACTGAAAAATAATTAATTGGGACTCTCTAAAATAAACATGAAAGAATTTTCCTCTCTGATGCAAGATTTTCCCTGCTAAAAGTTTGGAAAATTCAAAAACATTTTGTGAGTTACCACTAAATAGTCCACTAAATAAAATTTACACTATTTGATGATGTGTTTATTTGGTGCTGGTAAACAGAACATATTTGCTTTCCTTTAAGAGAATAATAATAAATACAGCTCTTGTAAGAAATATTTTTTTGTCAAATTTATAGCCAAAAATGGTCCTGGTCACTAGGGATCTTACTAGGAAAAGGAATATGTTCTAAACTGAATTATGGTGATGGTTTCACTATTCAGTACATTTACTAAAAATTGAACACTTAAAGCAGATTAATTTTACTGCAAATTATACCTCAGACTAAGTTTGTTTAAAAAAAAAAAACACATCAGTAAGAACAAGTTTGATTAGTTAATGAAGTTTGAGCAAAAATATTCTCTCAAAAAAAAATCAGCACTATTTACTAAGACTGATAAGTCTAGTATTTCCAACTTCTAGTGCTTAGAAACCAGATATTCACTGATAGTTGCAGTTCTTTACAAAAACTCAAAAAACCCTTCAGCATCAAGCTTCTAATTCATCCTGAAAACCAACCATAATATCCCAACAATTTACTACTGCATCTGAAATAAACGCAGCACCTGCTGTAAGAGAAAAAAATATTGACTAAATACTAAAAAGCAAAAGTGATTAATTCATTCAATTTTTATAAAATAAAAATATATTTATTGCTCACTGTAAATATAAAAAGTAATAGCAACACACCAGAAAATACACAATAAAGAACAACTTCAGAATCATTATTATGGCTACTATAAAAAAGTTAGTGGAGAAATTGGAACTCCTGCACTGCTGGTGGGATTCAAAATGGTAAACCACTATGGAAACAGTGTGGTATTCCTTAAAATATTTTTTTAAAAATTATCATATGAGCCGAAACCGGTTTGACTCAGTGGTAGAGCGTCGGTCTGCGGACTGAAAGGTCCCAGGTTCAATTCCGGTCAAGGGCATGTACCTTGGTTGCGGGCACATCCCTGGTAGGGGGTGTGCAAGAGGCAACTGGTCAATGTTTCTCTCTCATCGACATTTCTAACTATCTCTCTCCCTTTCTCTCTGTTAAAAATCAATAATATACATATATTTTTTTAATTATCATATGATCCAACAATTCCATATCTAGGTATATACCCAAAAGAATTGAAAGCAGATATTTGCACCCCCATATTCATAGCAGCATTCTTCATAATAGCCAAAAGATGGGGGCAACCCAAGTGTCTATTGGCAGGTAAGTAGATAAACCAAATGTGGCTTATACATACAATGGAGTATGGGTTCAGCCTTAAAATGGAAGAAAATTCTTACACATCCTATAACATGGATGAACTGTGAAAACATTATGCTAAGAAATGAGGTGCATAGAGTAGTCAAATACATAAAGTAGAATGGTGGTTGTCAGAGGCAACATGCCTAGGAAGGTTGTGATGTTCTGAATGGAGACTTTTACTAAATGGGCATCATTTCAATTTTGCAAGATGAAAAGAGTTCTGGATTTGGTTATACAACTGTGAATGTACTAAACTGAATACTTAAAAATGGGTAAAATGGTAAATTTTATGTTACATATATTTATTACAACCAAAAATAAACAATTCAGAATAATAAAAATAATCTGCTAATACCATCCACCAAGAGAAAACAATCTTGTTATATATTTCCAGAATTTTTTATGCATATGTACATGATAAGTCAAACACATATCCATTTTATTTCTTTTTTTTTTTTTTTTAACTAAATTTGGGTATTTCACATAGTGTTTGTAAATTTTTTTTCTATTACATATCATGGACAACTTTCCATGACAACAAATAAAACTATATATTCTTAAAAAGTACACCATTCTTCATAATTTATTAAAATAATTCCCTATATCCCTAATTGGTTTGGTTCAGTGGATAGAGCATCGGCCTGTGGACTGAAAGGTCCCAGGTTCAATTCTGATCAAGAACATGTACCTTGGTTGTGGGCACATCTCCAGTAGGAGGTGTGCAGGAGGCAGATGATCAATGTTTCTCTCCCATCGATGTTTCTAACTATCTCTCTCCCTTCCTCTCTGTAAAAAAAAGTTTTTTTAAATAAATATAAAATAGAATAATTATCTATTGATAGTGAGAAAACAATTGTTTATTTTTACTATTATAGTACATACTGTGACAAACACTCCTATATAAGATTATTTTTGTACACTAAAGATACAATCTTTAAGTGAAACTGTTGAATCAAAAGACATAAATCACTAATTATTAATCTGGGATCATATAACTAATTAGTGAGAAAAATGAGAGCCCAGTGAACCTCCATTTCCAGCAGTATCTTGTAATCCTAGGTCCACTTTCATGCATTCATCTGGCAAGCATGCACGAACACTAATTTGCCCCAGTTAAATTATGCTAGGTAGAGGATAGGCATAGAGCAATACACAAGCTGCATCCACAGACACAATCTTCTAATAGTTTGTTCTCTATTAAGGACTGACACTAAATCAGGAGTTAGGATTTCTCTAATTAAATTCAATGAGTTGGATGAGTTCTATATTTCAGGAAAGAAGAATATGCTTATTGGCATCCTAATCAAAATTAAAGCAGTTCAAGTAACCAAATACTGAGGGATAAAAATCTAAAATTACTTAGACATTTTCCACTTCAGCACTCAGTTTTTAAATAATGTTTGGGTTAGGCAGATTTTGACAAGGTTTCAATGGTCTCTGCTTCCGGGTATTCATGCACTTGTGTAATTTCCTCCTCTGGAGTTTAGACTGGCTTTAGTGACATCCTTCCGATAAACAGAATACAAAACAAGTCATGTTCATACTTAGGTTATAAAAAATTACGACTCCCATCTTTCTAACATGTTCTTCTGGCTGGCCCTCTCTCCTGCCTTCTTGCTTGCTTGCTCTGATGAATCAAGCTGCCATGTTGTGAGATGCTCTGTGGGAAGGCCATGTGTTAAGGAAACAAAAGAGCCCTGTGACCATCCGTTCATGACAAACTGATACTTTAGGCCAAGAAATTGAATGAACTAGGAAGGAAGTAAATCCATTGCAGGCAAGATGTGAGATGGGTGTGGCCTGTGAGAGACTCAGAGCCAAAGAAGCCAGCTAAGCCAGGCCTGGACCCCTAACCTACAGAAACTGTCATGATAAATGTTTTAAGCCAGCAAGTTCAGGAAATTTGATATGCATCCATAGATAACTAATACAAATGTTTTTATCCTTACCCTCGGATATGTGTATTGATTTGAAAAAGGAAAAGAGGGAAGGAGAAAAGGAAAGGATGGAAAGAGAGAATGAGAGAGAGGGAATTCAGTGAAGTGAGAGTGCCTGAAGAGAAGCATCAGACAGAAGAAGACGGAACTGAGCAAAATTTCAGAAATTAAAGGGGGCACAATTTTATCACGGACTGGAAGTGTGCTATGCAGGAAAAGACCTAGAGTAACTCTTAGATGTCCACTGGATGGATTACAGTGCCATTTTCTGGGACTGAGCAGACCAGAGGAAGAGCAGGTAAACACAGCTCTAAACAGAAGAGCATGGGCTCTGTACCTAATGACACAGCATAACTTACTACTGTGGAATGATAAAATAATTCCCAGTAATACAAATTATTTTAAAGACTGCATTCATCAATGCCTCCTCATTTTCATTTTTTTTTATTTCTGAGACATAAAGGAAAAATCTAAACAGCTAATGCTAAAAAGTACATTTTTATTGAGATCCATGTGAACCAATTAAATGGACTCTTTGATACACAGATATCAAAGAGTCCAACTTTTCCATATTTACTTATAAAAATAGTATAATAAGAATAAACATTAGAATAGCATTTAAAGCTAGCTTTAATGAGCAGAGGTGAAATGAAAGCAAAGGCCTTCTGTTTATGGGATTGTATCCGGATTTTTCAATACATTAATTCCTCAGATCTTTCACAGTAGATGCTGTTGTAAAATGCATTTCAATACGTATTTGTTATATAACCTGCTGTTGCAATCTGTGCAATAACCATGTTATCCTAAATGCAGGGTTGAGAATTCTTACTTGAATTCATGGCCTACTCTTCCAGAAACAGCTGGATCCATGTTTACATTTTTAATTAACATAGGGACCCTCCTATAGAAACTAAAATAAAATTGACTTTTTCCTCCATGAATAGTAAAACTAATAGGCACTCAGATCATATTAAACTGGGTTAATTCTAGATAACGAATGTCCTCTGTGGTAAAAGGTCCATGTGATAGTGTTTATTACCACAATTAAGTGTTAACATAAAATATTTTCCATAATATCATGCTATGAATAATAACTATTCCCTCCCAACAGGCAGCTTGAAAAACAAACAAACAAAA